ATTAAACATTACCTTGTCATAGTGTTTTATAATTTATACAGATAACTGTTATATATGCAAATAAAATAAATAATAACCATATTAGAATAATATATTACCTTATTTATAACTTATATAGCAGGTTATCTTCAGAGAGCAAGTTACTATGGTTACTTACCCTGAAATTAACCTCCGATTTTGGAACCGAAAGCGGAGGTTATCCGCTCACTTATCCTCAAACATACTCGGGTATGTCACTAACCTGCTTTTTGGAATACCACCCAGGTTTTTTGTTGTTGTTTTTTTGCGGGTTTTAAACATCGTACACTGTAAAAAATTACCGTGAATTTAACGGTAAAAGACTGTAATCCTCCAAAGTTTAAGAATCAGAGCCAGTGGGGACACAAGCCGGGTAGTTTGGAGATGAAGATGATCTGGCAACGAGTGTGACTAAAACTGTGCCTTATCACAACATTCTCATTTATTAATCAATAATTGCTGCAATCTTTTTCAGTTGTTGGAGGGGAGGGCTAAAAACTAACCTGCCTTCTCCTGTGTCTCCGTCCAATAATCAGGCAATGTTTTTGATTAAAAATTGCTTGTGTACATGAAAGAAAAAAAAAAGTGTACACTTAAATGATTTAAAATAAGTGTAACAAAAAAAAAAAGAGTCAATTTTGATTTCATGGTGAAAACATAACTGACCGTGTTTACATTATTACTCGCTAGTTACTAAGATGGGCGTTTTGACATATTTGTGTGTATTTGTCCTTTAGCCACATTCACAAAGCCAAAGTTATACATTTGCATGTCCATAGGGAGTAAAATAATAATTATAATCTTTGGGTGAACCTTTCCTTTAACATGATGTTTTACTGTGGTCAGAACGGAAAGGTAACATAAATTATCATACTTCATTGCATCCAGTTGTTCTTCTAGGTTTCTCCTGGCTTCTCGTATTTCCCTGGCTGCATCTCGTAGAGCCTGGCTGGCCTTTGTGCCCTGATTGCTCTTTAGCATTTCTTCACAACTCGAAATCAAGCTGTACAGAGAGATGCCAAAACCAATCACGCCAAGTAACTAGAAAGATAAAAACACATGTACAAAATAAGTGTCAAATCTAATATCAATTTGAAATGCTGTGTAAAATACACATTTCTCAACAGTTCTCAAATGGATTGAAAAACTAAAATACCTTAAAACCTGCTTTAGTAGCAGCTTTCGCACTAGTGGATGCAGCGCTCTTGCCCAGTCCTTTGGCACCGGCCTGCAAACCTTTCTCGAAGCTTTCGATGCCCAGTTGAAAACATAATGTTACAGCAGATAAAATCAACATTTGGGGAACAGCAGCAGCAGCAGCATGCAGTCCACCTAAATTCTGAGAGAATGTGGACCTGACGAATGTTCTGAGAAAGTCCAGAGGTACATCTACGTTATTTCGTCTGGCCAGTGCCCCCATAATTTGAGTGGCCACCTCACAACCTACATCTGTAGATCCATGAACGCCGTTTTGTTGCGCTCCACATTTCTTCTTCAGATTTTCTATTGCCTCCTGAATGTTCTTTCCAATCTTCTCATCTTCTTGGATGATATTTTTAGCTTCGTTCATGGTACTGCCGAAGATGATTGCCTCTATTGCTGTGGAAGCGATGTCGACTGCAGCGCCCGCTATCGTCCCCACAGTTGTAGCAACCAGAAGAGGAGTGGCCAGGCCTCCTGTCAGGAAAGTGACGACTCCTGCTGTAGACAATGCAATCACGGATGTGGCAGATCCGACCACTTGAGAAACGGTACTTTTTTCATGTACATTCTCCAACTCCTCTGCCAAAGCCAACAGCTTCTCTGCACACTGCTTTCTCTTTTTCAGCCATAAAAACAGCAAATCGCACAACTCTTCTGCTTCTGCCATTGGAGCAAAAACTGTGAAAGGAAGAAATACAAACAGATTGTGCCCTGTATGTCATTTAAAGAAATACACAGTAAATTCCCGAGCAGCAGAAGATAATTAAACAACTCCACAAACAGTATCACCAGCTGCATGCATTACTAACCAGTTAGACTTTATTTCTGGAGTATCTAAAACAGAAGTTCTTTATTGAGAATTCATGTTTAGATGTTTTTTGTTTGTTTTTTTAACTTACCGTTTTTGTGATTAGTGTTTGCTTTAGTTGCCTCTTGACCCTTGACTTGTTTATTATAAGTTTCACTGTGGCTGTTACAATAGAGTTTATAAAGCACATTTGTGATGGCAAGAAACTTATGATAAAAACTTTTCACTTTGTATTAAATCTAAATCTGTAGTGCTTTTATGATTTCTGTATTAATGCAGTTCTATGATATGAAACAATGTGAGAAAATTTTATAAACCATTTTTATAAATATGGCTCACATAGACATTGAATTTCTGGCACTCATAGACATGAAGAATCAGCATGTGAATCTCAGCGATGGTGACAAAATATTCTGATCAGCTTGATAAGATTTTTGAACATCACAAATCAAGGCAGTAAAAAGTCACAACAAAAATAAAAACAAATAGTAAGAATAAAAGAAAATCCTAAAACAATGCAGCTGCATAATTTATTCATGTCGCAATGCATGCTAGGAGCCATGGATGAGTTATGATTGGTGCACCCAGAATGCACTGCAACATTAATCTGTCTGATGATCGTCACCATTGTTGAGATTCACATGCTGATTTTTGATGTCTGCTTGTCTAAACAGTACAAATGCTCTAAACTGGTGTGTAAAGTGGTTTTTAATGCTCTTCATATTTCTTTAAGCTTCAGTTGTGATCAATAACACACATTAAATTAGGCAACATTACTCACAACATCAGTGTAAATGGTCATTAATACTTCATCATATTTTTTCTTGGTTTTTCTTGCCATAACCAATGTGTTTCATAAACACAGTAACAGCAATCAAAGAAAAACTAATGTTAAAAAGTCAAGGGTCAAGAGCACAACTAAAGTAAACGCTTATCTCCACAACGGTGTCTTCAAATTGTGTTATTTTCAATAAACATTAACATCTAAATCTCTGTTAATTCTTAATAAGAAATTTTTGATGCATGACAAAAAAATTCACATT